TTTAGATATTTTACTTAAACAGATAGATTACTCTTGAAAAATGCAAAAAATTATATACAAAATTAAAAATTGGTTAAATACAAGGCAGTTACAAATACTGCTAGACTTTGCTACTGGCTACTGATGCCTTATCTGACTCATTACCACTGTCTGTAGAAACAGTCTGTCCAGGGCTCATTTTAGTTTCTTCCTCATCATCATCACTTAACGATGAACAGTCAGATAATTCTGCATCTATCCATAACTTAGCCTTCTTCTTTCCTTTTGATTTATTTTCCTCTGCTTTCCGTTTCGTCCCACATTCTTTAGATGTACCTGCAGCCTCCCAACCAGCGTCAACAGCCGCACTGACACGCTCAGGCAACTCCTGACGAACTTTCTCATAATCTGGATTAAGATTGACCTCAATTTTTGGTTCAGCCATTAGCCTTTCCAGTTTCTTCTGTTTCCGTTCTGCAACTTCCCTTTCACGATCCTCCTGTCCCTCCAACCACTTTCTAAGACGCTTCTCTTCATTAATATCCCGCAATCGTCGTCCAGACAGATCACGGCATGCTTCACGATTCGTGGTTTTTTCGATTTGTGCTCCTATTGCACGGAGCATAGATCCAAATCCACCTTTACCACCCACAAGTCTTGTATGTACTCTAACAACATTATTTTCCTTTTTCAAAATGAATTCATTAGAAAGAAGTCTTCCATTAACTGTCACGAATAAATCTTCCACTGGAACACCGAAGCTTTGTGAAATTTTGCAACGTAAATCGGATACATTTATCAATTCTGATTCCAAAAGGAATTGGTTGTCAAAATATATTTGGCAAGGCATTATTGATTTTATAAATCTGTCAGAAATAAATATATTTTATACGATAGTTACAACCTGTATAAAATTAAGAATTTTAAGTTTATTTAAAAATTGTATTTCTATTTGATGATTGACAAATGCAAATGACGACTTTACACCATCGACAACAATCGATTGTTTTTTTTTATTCATTAGATTTTTCGCTTGGATGCTTGTTTTTTACACCATGTCTTCATATTATTTGGGATCGTCATTTTTATAGATGTTTTCTTCACAATATACTAATGCAAAATAAATTTTTAGGAAATTTTGACGATAGCTAAACCTCTGTTGGGGCAGTTCATAACGATAGTCACTCAAAGTCTTACGGCCTAAACAATCAAAATAACTTCATATAAAATCATCATCGAAGCACTTGTTTCATCGTTGTTTTCTCTAATAGTTCATATGTGCAAACACTAAATACGCAAATCACATCACTTTTACGTTTTAAAACATTCAAACCACTCCCAGATCAAGTAACCACTGTTTAAGAAAATTACTTACATAAAATAACCATTATGATACTCAAAAAAATAGAAAATACCTAGGAGCTTATTTCTTACGTGCCTACTTGTGCCGATCTTTCATTCAAAATTAGTCACAGTTTCATCTTGTTATATGAACTTTCTTCTCCCTCGTACACTATGGCCGTCTATATATTCTAAGTCATACAATAATAGTTCAAAAAGGAAATTCATCGATTTTATCGAATTTGAGCGTGAAAACATCGTTGTTTTTAAATAGTTATTAGGCCCTGCAAAACATCAATACATTGATGATGTGTAATGAAAAAAAATATCTAAAATCGATGCTACCGCATTAGTTTGTAGTAAAAATCTTATTGAGCTTACGCATTATTTCAAATGTATATTTAAAAACTGGATTAAAAAGAAAACTATCCACCTTTCGAATTTTATTTTTTTTTCTTCATAATTATTATCAAAACTCATCACATGTCCACTGCTGAAAGTAGGCCTCCCCTAAGGAATGCCATTACTTCATTCAGTGGGGGGGACGCACAAAATTTTTTATAGGATAAGGATGACAAACGAGCACACAGTCCACATGATAGTAAGTGGTTACTGCGGACCGTAGACATCTACATACAATCTAAAATCTACAATCCTCGATCACGAATCAAAATGCAGATGCGTTGTCTAAGATGGAATGCCTCATTTCGAATAAAAAGGGTATCCGGTTCTCTACACTTACCGTACGAAACACGGCAGCGTTCATCTGCTATTTTACGCTGGTATTCTGTGAGAGCATGGTCCTTCCCCGGTTGAGTCAACCCATTCATGCTACAACTATACTACTATAGGACTATACTATACTACTATACTCTACTGCAGCATGGCTCTACCACTTAAAAACTATTTCCATTCTTCTCTACCAGTAGCTATTTCTTGAGCTATATGGCCGGCCCATTGCCAGTTTAGCTTAAGTGTCCGTTGTTAATCTGCAAATGTATGTAAAGTATAACACAGTTGATACGTAATTTTTTTAACTCTTATTTTTTTGGTGAATGATGAATATTTTTGTCCTTGTCATTATCCTAATTCATTGGATCATTTTCATATAAAATCTAAATATGTTTGAGGTTAACAATAAAATGTTTTATAATATTGCTCAATTTTTTGTGGAGGTGAGTTAATAAATAAACATTTAAGTTTCTTTTTAAATGCAAGTGTCACACGTATGGAGGTTATAAACAGGATCATTTGTAACCAACTTTCACAAAAACAATTTACTGTTATTTTTAATATGATGCAAAGTTCATTTAAAATAATAGCATTGACATGAAAGTGCCTAGTCGCTCGTTACAGTGATAGTCGTTCGGACTCTAGTTCCTAAGTGATAAAATAACGTCAGATTTGAATGGCTAATATCGACAAGACTTAAATTAAATAAGCAATGGTTGAGCCCACAACGTATGATCATTTCTATTCTGATACTTACTTGGCCTGTATATTTATTTGTCTTATGATATTACGGAAAAAATGTATTGAATGTAAAAATATTGGTTGGTGCAGCATGGGAACGCATTTAACTATGATATTGATTCGGGTGAGCTAACGGAGCACTACTATTTTATTTTATTTTATTTATTAGGTTTACCAGTAATTGTAACAACAATATATCAATGAGTATTTAACAATAACATGTACAGCCAAATGCACAATTAATTAAGGTAAACACCACATGCACAAAATATTAAGGGTAGTAACATCCAATATTTATAAGTGTCTTAATGTGTTCATAATAAATGAGAAAAAGAAAGAGAAAAAAGGAAACAATAACAGCACAGTATATAAATGAACATAAAAATTACTTAATTATAACTCGACTATGGTTTTTTGAGAGTTTTTTTTTTACCAGAACCAAAAGTAAGAGAAAAAGGGCTGATGATCTTGAAACATAGTTAAGAACACTCTCGATTAAGACATTTTTTAAACTAAATCAAAATTGGTTCATCCGTTTAGGAGCTATGATGTCACACATAGAGACACGGATACACACTAAAAACTTTTAAGACCCCGTGGTAAATCGGTAATAAATTAAATGTTACAAAATAATTAAAGTTATTGTCTTATATTCTCTACAGAATTAGAACACGTGACGCAAGGAATTCAAATATTCTAAAACTTCCAGCACCGAGTAAATGCGAGAACAACGGCAGCGTTGAAAAAGTGGCAAACGACACATATGACTTTTTCACGAATAACTCTACGTTGCGGAAGATTGCTACTTTCTTAATTTTATTTTGTATATTTGCTCATTTCTAGTAAAGAAGGTATAATTTGATGGTGATGATTTCAAAACATTGCTTGTTTTTAAAAAAAAGTTTAGTATTAAATTAGAAATGTACTTACAGTAATCATATTCAACAATTTTTGGCGCCGTAATATTTTATATTTAATTTCTTTGTTATATTCTTGAAACTACTAAACGTGTTCAAAAGAAGTTACGGTTTAAATAGTCTTGATAATTTCAACACCATCATGCTATTTTTTTTTCTTAGCGACACGAATCAAACTAATTTCACGCTTCAGTTGGCCCAAAAACAAAAGTAAAAGAAAGTGAAAGTAGCAACTGCTGTAATTTCTCTGATTTATTACGCATACTAAAATTAGTTGACTCTATAATTCGTGTGTAACTGACTTCTTCATTGGTCTTGTGGTCGTAAGCGCAACTGCTGATCATGTGGTCCTTAGTTCGAAGTCCGAGTTGGCCCTAAGTTATTTTTTTTAATAAATCGATGTGACATACGAACTTTCAATCCACCTGATAGCAAGCGGCTGCTACAGCCAACTTCATACAAAGAAGGCTACAGATGCGTTGCTACGCCTAAGAACCATGATGAAATGGTTCACCACCTGTAATTAAAGTGGTTCTCTATACCCTTTACACCGGATCAAAGAAGTGAAAGCATTGCTATTTGGTGGCATAAATAGGTGAGAGGGTACCTATCCTATTCCTAGGCAAAAAAAGAGTTCATCTAGTTCGGTTTTTTAGCCAAGAAATTTTCAGTATATACCACGATTTAGGAAGTTTGCGATGTATCACCCTCGTGCCTCGGAAAGCACCATTGGTCGTATGCCTGATCTCTACAAGGTCACATTGGATAGCCATCCCAATGCATCAGACTATGAGAGTGAGGGAATAAAAAGTGCACCCGTGTTTGCGCCCATACTCGTGCACTATATTCCTGTACCGCACACAAACCGAAGATCGACGCGTGTATTTTTATATATTAGGGATCTACGATTACATATCGTACATATATTTGCTTGTGTATAAAGTACATATATATAAATACCGGCATTAATTAATACTATTGTCAAAAAAGAGCTTTAATCCTACTATTTGAGTATTTAGACGGCGTTTACCGATTAGCCGTCTGTGACAGTCGCAGGTGACCATAAAGAAAGATTTTGTGACGTTGATTGACGCCATTAAAGCATTACTGTCAAATGAATGGAATATCCAATAAAATTTAAGCTTTTTAAAATTAACAGGAAGTCGTTCTCGTTCAACAGTCACTTGGTGATATCTGACTTCGATCTGCTGTATTATTATGGCCCAGAATATCAATCCACATTACGCTTCCTCGTCAAATCCCGCCAAACAGAATGAGGACACAATAAAATTGAAAGACAATCATGCAGTTAGCAAACGGTAAGTTCAATTGTTAAAAGAATGTTTGACTGGCTTAGGCTTAGCGCTAAAAAGATTGAGTAGGATCAATAAGCATAATGATAATTACAAGTTCTAAATAATCAAGCATTAAATACGCTGTCGTTATTGGGATAATAATAACAGTTAGTCGCCTTGTCTTTGCATTTACTATTACTAAGTACTGTTTCTACTTGTCATCAAAATCAACAAAATTAGATAAATTAATAAATTTGGGTACTTTTGATAATGTTACTTTAATAATACCTTCATAATCTGAAAATCAATTATATTTAAACAATATTTCCTAAAATTTATTTTATTTTATCTATTTCTCAGGTTGCAGAAGGAGCTTATGGAATTAATGCGATGTGCAGACAAAGGAATATCAGCATTTCCAGAGAGTGAAAATTTATTTAAATGGATAGGTACAATAAACGGACCTCAGGACACTGTCTATGCAGGTCACAAGTACAAGCTGTCATTGGAGTTCCCTAATTCATACCCATATGCCCCACCCGTAGTCAAATTTCTAACACCTTGTTTTCATCCTAATGTAGATACATGTGGTTTAATATGTTTAGACATTTTAAAAGATAAGTGGACCGCTTTGTATGATGTTCGTACAGTCCTGCTCTCAATTCAGAGTTTGTTAGGTGAACCAAATACGCAGAGCCCTTTAAATCAGCAAGCGTCCTATCTGTGGCCAAATCAAGCAGCCTATAAGAAGTATCTGGATGAATTTTACAATAAGCACAAAGATTCATAGTTAACTAAGAGTGAATTTAAAATTATTTAATGTGTTGCATTTTATGTTTATGTTAACTGACAGCTTGTTATGGAGATAGGAATTTGTCTGGTTTTATTTTCTCATAATTAGAGATGTTTTTGTCTGACAAATTAGAACTGTGTAAAAAAAATGGAAGTCTTACGTTTACCTAAATTCCAGTTTAAAAAATTGCTGTAATATTTAAAATTCTTGATATAAAGTCTCAATGTTTTGCATATCACTTCTAAAACTATTTCCTAACATCTAAAATTTAGTTCAATAAATCATGGTTCTAATTATTAAATGTAAAACTTGTATTTCTTTAGTTAAATTATGTAAAATACTTTAAAAGTGTTCTTTACTCTGCTCTTTTCTCCGAGTTTTAAAGATTTGTAACGCAGAACTGTATGTATATTGAGAGATAACTGAAATTACAATTATTTAGTGCAATTCAATGTTTTGTTTCTTTTTTGTTTCATATAGGAAAATGCAACTATGATACACTATTTTAGCACACATTTCATCATGTACACTTCATCTCATTTCATAAATATGGGATTGGACCAACACTTATTTGAGGTGTTGCCCGTGGTGAGCAAAAAAAATATTAATCAATGCTTCTTGCATACTGGATAAATGGTACATGGTAGTGTTGCTTTGTAGTTGTATTATAGATGCAGCACTAATCTACTCGAACGATGCAGAATCTGCTAGAACGATGAAGAAATACACACAGAATCGCAGCTGCTGTGATTGGTATTTTTCTCCTTTTTTAGTGCACTGGTAAAATTCGCCAATGATGTAATGTATGAAAAATGAACATGTTTAATTGAAATAACAGTCTGATTAAACAAAACTACCTACATCTAGAATTTTGTTAAATCTATCTTTTTTTATATTATACAAAGTTGACTAGCATACAGGCCACCTAATTGTAAGTAGATGCTGTGGTCCATAGACAGCTACATCTACGATTAAGAATCAAAATTCAGATGCATTGTCACACTGAGGACTAAGATGAAATGCCTTGTTTCCAGTTCTTTACACTCGCCAAACGAAATACACTAGCAATAAGCTTTTATTTTACGCTAGTATACCATAAGTGTGTGGTACTTTCCTAGTCAAGCTGATGCATACATGCTACATCGATAATATAGCTGCAGCATGGCTCTACCACATGTACGGGTGTAAGATTTAGTCTTGTAAGTATTAATTAATAAAATATATACTAGAGAAGTACATATGTATGTAAATCAAGGGACGTAAGTAAGAAGGTGATCATTGTGGGAGGAGTACAGTTTAGTTCATTCTAGGTTAGTTACCAATGAGTGGTCTGCTTTTCAAAAAAAGGAGGAGGTTTTTGTATGTTACCTCAGAACTATCTCTAGGTAAACCGATTTCGATGAATCTTGTTTTATTTGAAAGCTGGTGCTTATCATGTGGTCCCATATAAATTTGATCAGGATCTGACCAGAAGTTCTTGAGTTATCCTTAATAAAGTGTATTTGACATAATGATTTCTTATATTTACGCGAACATTGCACATGATTAAAACTACTTTTACGGATTTTGTCGCGTTTATTTTTATTTTTTAATTCCCGACGTTTCGGGCGCTTTCCAGCACCCATGGTCACGAGGGATGATGACTTTAATCAAAGTGTATTTGAATTGGACTATGTTGATGATGTTCTCGTTTCATTTATATTGAAGTCAGTTGAATAAAATTTTTAATTTTACGACTTTTTGGTTCTAAAGTAGGTTTGCTTAGGGGCCACAAGACAAACATTTTATGTAGTATTGATTTAGTGGGTACTAGACCTAAAGAATTTATTTTAAACAAAGCTGTAGGGCTTTAAATGACCTCTTCAAGTGGAAATTAGGTGATATATTTGACAGATTTCATAGCGGCGGCCATAAACTGTACCAAGTAAGATGTCTATCTTATTGGGCGTGTGGAACTCAAGATCAGCTTAAGTTATCTCCCTCAGGCCAGTTAGCTAGTTTATTAGAAAACTGTACAAATTAAATGTTTCTTACTGAAATATTAGTTCTATTTTATATTAATTAGATTGGTAATGAACAGTCCCCTAGTGTCTAGTAATAATAAATCAGTTCAAACTCAGTTCCATAATTTCTTAAAATGTTGCAACTTACAGCAATGTAATAATGTTTGTAATAAATATGGATGCATCTTGGATCTGGTATTGACTAATCTAGACTCCGGAAGTTGTACTGTGTCATTTGAAGTTGAACCATTGGTACCTATTGATGCTTATCACCCTCCGTTAGAGATCGTGCTTACACTACCAACAAGTGCTGCAATAAACATACCATTTCCACCATGTCAGAACCTTTGCACAGAATGGAATCTCTGTGGCTTGTACACACACACAACACTGATATAAATGACTTTAACTGGACGGACCTAATGCACACCAACAGGACGTAAATGTAGCTTTAGAGATCTTATATAATAAGCTAAATAAAGTTATTAGTAGACGAGTTCCCTATAAATCCTTAACTACCCACCATAAATAAATAAAAAAAAAAAAAAAAAAAAAAAATATATATATATCCAAAATGGTATACTAAAGAAATCATAAAATACATAAAATTGAAATATTTTAATTTAAAAATGTTTAAAATTCGTGGCTTGGAATTTAATAAGGCGTTATTTAAATATTATAGAACCAAAGTAAAAAAAACTTATTAATACAGCATCTATAAATTATATGATAAAAGTTGAAAATGATATAGCACGCGAACCTTCAAATTTTTGGAAATACGTGAAAGAAAAACGAAAGAATAGACAACAGAATAAAGGAATTTGTGTATAATAATAGAACATTTAGAAGGGCAGCAAGCTATTGATGCATTCGCGCAGTATTTCAGCTCAGTTTTTCAACCTCCATTCCATTCCATTGTTAAATGCAGAGGCAGCGGAAAGCGATGCAATCTACGCAGACTGTAACCAAAGTCAGTATTAATATTATTAAAGCTTCAGATCTACGATGGGCAATACGCCGTCTTAAGGCATCGGCAGCTTGTGGCCCTGATAACATACCTTCGTTTTTAGTAAAGGACTGTATGGCAGTTTTAGAGGAACCATTACTGTATGTCTACAATCTCTCACTTCAACAATACCTCTATACCAATGCATGGAAAGTGTCCAGGGTAACTCCTGTACCTAAAAGTGGTTCGTCCACTGATGTAACTAACTTCAGGCCTATCGCAGTGTTATCAGTATTTGCCAAGGTGTTTGAATCCATTATAAACAATTCCATTTATAAACAAATAGGTGGGCTTCTAGATAACTGTCAACATGGATTCCGGCCGGAACGTTCTACTTTGACAAATCATATACAGTTTGTGGACTACGTGACCACTCGGGTTAACGTTGTCAAGTCGACGCAGCCTATTTTGATTTTCAGAAGGCGTTTGACCTTGTTGATAAGATATCCTTTTATTGAAATTCGCAATGCTTGGATTCTCTACACCACTTTTAAAATTTATGGCAGATTATCTTAGAGACCGAACGCAATTTGTTAAGCTAAGAGGTTATATTTCTCAAGAATATTACACACGCTCGGGTGTGAGTCAAGGTAGTACGTTTGGTCCAACTCACGGAGATCCAACTCTATTTCTAATAATGATTAACGATCTGCCCAGTAATATCTCAAGGGCAAAATGTTTAATGTTCGCTGATGATATAAAACTTTTCCATGCAGTGACCGGAGCTGAGGATTGTATGGTAGGCATTACAGCGCGACATTGACGCAGTGGTTGAATGGAGTGTAAATAATGTTACGCGCTCAAATCGACAATACACTAGCGCCATCTAGCGTCAGGAACGAGAGCGAGGGGAGCATTGAGAAAATGACATCACAAATCACTCACCGACAGCGCCTAGTCGAAACTCGAACGCTCGGTACCTTGCGCGTGTTTACTTGAACATTCTGGATATTTCTTTGCTAATTTAAATATATAGGCGCTGCAAGATGCGATCGAAGTAGACTTGAACTCGGCGACACAAGCGAAGCTTCGGAGCGGAATTAAGTGAATTAGTGTGTTTAATTATTAGTGTTTTTAGTTTTAATTTGTGTAAAGTAAATTAAAGTGTTAATTTAGGTAATTTTATCGGCAATTTTTATTGTCACGAACCTCAAGCTCGTAACAATTGGTGTCAGAAGTGGGATAAAATCATGCCGATTTTACCTAAGGAGGAAACGGAGGGTGTCCGTACCCGCAATCAACGCCAGCAGGAAACGGACCAAAGAAGATTTGGTGGTGCAACGCCGCAGACGTCGGAGGGCCAACCGCCGGCTGCAGGCCCGTCAGTAGCTCCTACATCTGCAGCACCCGATTTAGGTGCTCTGATGGTGATGCTGCTGGAACAGGCTCGCCGACAGGAGGAACAGGCTCGCCGACAGGAGGAACAGGCCCGTCGACAGGAGGAACGGGCCCGTTGGTTGAAAGAGCAGCAGGAGGAACAGGCCCGCCGACAGGAAGAGCAGATGCTCCTCGTGAAGGACATTCACGCTAACTTCGGGAAAGAGATTAGGGAGGTGAAGGAGAGGGTTGCTCAACATGACAACCACCTGTCGGAAGCTGAAACCCAAATCAAGGAAGCTAAAACCCAAATCGACCAAGTAAACAATCGGGTTGATTACGTGATGGCTGACGTGAAGAAAACGCTGGACGACCTCAAACTGGGGGATGGAACTACAGCTCCCGTAGTAGCTACTACACCTTCGCTACGTGGGTTCAAGGTGCCACCATTCGACGGGACTTCTTCCTGGTCAGCCTACAAAATCCAGTTCGAGGCTGTTATGAAGGCGAACGGCTGGAATAAAAGTCAGGCCATGACTGCTCTCACACTAGGCCTGCGCGACTAGGCCTTAACAGTTCTGGAAGCTCTCGGTGAGGAAGTGACTTTTGAGCAACTCCTTGAGGCATTGGAGGCGAGATATGGCGACGCTCACCTGGAACACGTCTTTCGT